AGCTGCAACTAACATAAGAACCTGTCATATCACAGTTTGACAAGTGAAGCTTCCTATTAATAATACTGATTTATATTGGAACATATGTATTTTTCTGAAGTAATTAGCACTGAAAAATGGAAACACTGGATTAATTTTTTGAATCACTAGAAAGTGAGGTTTACCTTTCCTCTTTATTTAAAAAATAGAGGGTTTGTATTTGAAGAAGTTTAGGGTTAATAAATAGGGGGTGCTTTAAATGGGCAGTTGTTTGCATGTTATACCCCTCTCACATTCTTGTTTCACAAATATAAAACATCAAGGATTCTACAGATCTTCCTTCATTGTCTTGAGATGGTGTAACTGCTGAAGTTTTACTGTTAAATCAAGCATTATCAAATGTTTATCTATTACCTGTTATCTTTGTAATAATTTTTGGTGCTAATATGGCTTAAAGAATGCAGAATTTTGGTCTGTGTTAGGCACCAATGTGGTCAACAGTTATTACTAGTGCCCAAGTGTTTCAGACAGCAGTGTTGAAATGTTATGGATTAAGAAATCTTTTTTTAAAAGCTGAAAATAATTTTGGGGTTTTTTTATTATTTGTTCTTGTGTTGGGTCCTCCCATGTCCCCCCCCCTTCCTGATAAAGTTGCTCTACAGAGTGGAAAATATTACGCAAAGTGGTATTTTTAAGTTAAATCCTTTTTCAACTGTGGAACTTTCTCTTCTTTTTGTTTTCCCCCTACTTTTTTTTTTTCCAAAATGTAAAAAATAGTTCTATTGGGATATGGGGAAAAGGTGGATGGCAACAAACATACAGTGTCAGGTTTGGTTGCTTCAATGCTCTTGCAATATAGTTACTACAGATTACATAAAAATGGTTTATTTTATTAGCTTCCGAATAATGTATATATAGATTTGTTAACAGCTTACAAGTCAAGCTTACTCTCTTTGCTTTTTAAAAAATAGTTATAGGCATGTTGTATTTGCCTTGTGTAAATTATTAAAGGCTATTTATTAAGTTTTCTGATAACTAATCTATTTATTAACCTGTATTGTTTTAAAATAAATGATTTATTTCTAGCTCAATGTTTTGTTTTGTGATTCCTCTTTATCCCAGGGGGAGAAAAAAATCAAGTTTCCCACACACTTAGCTGCTTTACAGCCTAATCCCAATTCATAAGCCTAAACTATTTTCATTTACCTTTCATAAAACAGCCATTTTGCGTTTACACAGAACAGCAGGTTCTTGTGTGGGTACAGATCAGTTGCCACACGAAGGGCTCAATTGTCCTATACTGGAGTCTACTAGCAGGCTATAGTCTTAATGTCTTCCTTAGACTGAAGTTTGCTCACAGGTAGAATGAACACTTCTCTGGAGAAATGTTTGCTGAGGCCTGAGTGCCTTTAACTGTGTCTTTGGGGTTAACATGTGCTCTGTTCCTGCATTGCTGTACACTGGCTACTTGCTAGTGCTTTTATTTCAAGATCTGCTGCTTCACAGTGGGTGTGCATGGAGTGGCAACAGCTGTAAGGAAGTCACCAGTCTTAATTTATTGTCTCTCACAAGAACTTCCTGTGGAATCACTTGGAAAATTACAGTGACTGCCCATCTAATCCTTCATCTGAAATTCCTAGCTCCTTGTATCAGGTACTGGCAAATACATGGCTTACAATCTCTGTGTGTGTGTGTGTTAAGTTTTAGGTGGTTGGTTTTTTTTTTAATGGTGGGATTTATGATTAAGAATTGTTTCAGTCTGTGATTCAGGCATTTGTGGTTTAGGGGATGCATTAGTATTACTGCTGGTCAAAATTTAAAGTTATTTTTAAACAAATTATCTACCTCCAATATTAAACATACCCAGTGGAAAAGACTGGCATAGATTCTTTACTGTAATTTTATTTTTAGAGGTGCTGATGATATTAATGCAACATACAAAGATAGTCCAAAAAACTAGAGAGGCTTTTTCTTCTGCATGCAGCATATCTGATTTTTAAGTAGGTAGCATAGAGGAGTGTGTATTTTGAGAACATGTTTTATCAGGAGAATTCAACTTTTTATTTTCCTCTTGTTCATCTCTGGAGTTAGGCCTCTAAGGCAGCAGCATTGTGGTAAAGGCAAATATGCCATTTACACCACTGGTATTGTTGAAAGTCTGGGACATAATCAATCCTGAACATATTTATCTCACCAACACAGTTCGTATAGGAAGAGTGTTAGAGACCAAAATCTGATAGTGCCAAAAGAAAAAACAGTTCCATTGATTTTTTTGTGAGGTTTGTTCTAAGAGTTTAAGTCTTAAGCCGAGTCCCTGAAGTTATTTGTATGTGACAGTGCACCTGTTGTATGAGTAGACTCACAGACATGACTTCATTGTTCTGCTCAGCTGTCTTCGTGAATGCAACATGATGTGGACATCAGAGACCCTGTTAGAGCTTCCTGATTGCCTAATCAGTTTTCTGTCAGGTACTGACCTGACTAGATTCAGCATCCTGGTGGGATGCTTTAAAACTCTGCCAGCTGGCACCATTCTGCCCAGGGACCATGTATCAGAAAGCAGCTGGGTGTGGATGGCACAAAGTGCCGTTCATCGCAACCCCTTTGCTGTGTCTACACCATCAGAAATCACTGCACAAGAGTCAGTCGGTACACAACACAAACTAGACTATCTGCTAACTTGGTCATGCTCCCCGAGGTTGTATGGGTGGTATTTTTGCTCTCTGTCCTTTTAATACGAGTTGTTTTTACACATAAGAGATACTAAGCCCTGAAAAACGATGTTCATAGCACCTATGCTAGCTCACCTCCTTTGTGAAATCCATGGGGCACAAAGATGGCTTGTGTGGCTGAGCTTCCCTACAAGAATGGGTCAAGTTAGGCAGGTTACCAGCATTCTCATGTTTGGAGTTCTTTCCAGATACTCAGCAGACGTGCCTGAAGTACCATGCTGTTGTAAATTACTCAGAGATGGTCTGAGTATTTTCTGTTACTGAGCACAACCCCTGGCTTTGGAGTAAATATTTAAAGATTTGTGACAAATTGAGAGCACTTGAATTTCTATTTTGTGTGAACAGATGACAGTATGTTAAGCAGAACTAGCAGTTGAAGAAACATGAGGAAGAGGATTAACAGAGAATGACTGAAGTTTCATAAGGGTCTATAATGCTTAGAGGAGTCCAGTTAATATTTTCAGGTGTTCACTCATTGCTTTAGGTTGGTTGAGAGGTGTTTTTGAAAAGAGGAGAGCAGGAGAGGAGACTGGAAAGGGAAGTTTAAATTGACTAGCTTCAGACATCACTGTTGTTTAACTCAGGAATATGTATGTGTATGCTTTACCAACATTTGGCATGATCACAGGCACATTAATTTCTTTAGCTCTTTTAAACTTTGAACTTAGCTATCAGTACTTAGATGCTTCTGTTTATACTGTACCAGTTTAGGTGGTACAGGTGTTAATTTTTTTAATCCATTCGAGAAACCGTTTTCACCAGCTGTTGAACTTTTTTTCAAAGACTTCACAGTTTTGGTATCTTTGGTATCTGTTAAACACAGAAAAGCTAGCCTCCTACTGTGTAATTATGTAGGTAATGACTGCAAATTGCTTAGCAGTTTTATATGTTAAAATATATTTTTATATATACACACATATATATAATTGCAAAGTTCATGTCAAGAATACTAGATTAGTTTTACATTGGGGAATGGAACGTTGCCTTAGATAATAAAATTTATCCATATGCTTTGACTGCTGTAGAAATTTAATTTTTGTGACAGACTGAGGGACCATTTTTAATGAGAAAAAACACAGCAGGCAATGTGACACGGAACGGCTTTGTTATGAGTATCCTGTGAGAGAAAGCCAAGATTGGTTCTCTGGTTTTGTTTCCAGGTTTTTCCAGGTTTAGCAAAAATAAAGCAGCTGTTTGTGCAGACTAGGATAATGTCAACACAAATCCTGAGAAGCCTAAAAAAGTAGGAACTGCTGTCACTAAGAGCTGTGACAAAACTGTCTCGTGTTGAAGAGGCAGAGCTGCATCTTCCATGTGGAGCTACCACAGGTATTTTGGCAGTGTTGTTTGTCCAGACTTAATGTTACAAGGCAGCTGCATAAAGCCTACTCAGATAGTCCTGAAGAAACCCAACAGCCCTCTGAGCCTGAAGTCCAACTATTTGAAAGACTCCATGCTGTAAGCCAAGGACAAATATTTGTCTAACTGTATTTACCAATTTATTTAGTATGAGATTAAAGCAGTTGGGGTTGTAAAGCATGCAGCGAGAGTGCGGGACCTGAATTAAATTGATTACTTAACCATGCCCTTTACCCAACCCTGTAAAATGCCTCTCTCATTTCCTGCACGTGGCTTCTAAGTGTTTATTTCAGCCTGGAAAAGAGAAGGCTTCGGGGTGACCTAACTGCCCCTTCCAGTACCCAAAGGGAATTTACGGGAAAGATGGGGCAAGACTATTTACAAGAGCATGTAGTGACAGGACAACGGGAAATGGATTAAAAGTGAAAGAGAGTAAGTTTAGACTGGATATTAGGAAGAAATTCTTTGTTGTCGGGGTGGTGAGGCACTGGAACAGGTTGCCCAGAGAAGTTGTGGATGCCCCATCTCTGGAGCTGTTTAAGGCCAGCTTGGACGGGGCTCTGAGCAACCCGGTCTAGTGGAAGGTGCCCCTGCCCATGGCAGGGGAGTTGGAAGTGGATGATCTTCAAGGTCCCCTGCCAACCCAAACCGTTCAGTGATTCTGTGCTTTTCCGTGAGAGTGTAAAAGCTGGGTAGCGCGGGTGCTGGCCGGAGCACCCGGGGCGGGAGGCGGGAATGGCCGGGCGCGGCTGCAGGTGCACAGCGGCGCTGCGGGTCCGTCGCAGGGGGGTTCGCGGGCCGGAGCTGACGCTGGGTAAGGCACAGCTGTGCCCCTGAGCAGTCTATCGCCGTCTCGGGAGTAGGCGGCGCTGCAGGAGGAAGGCCGTGACCCGCGGCAGGCGGGGCCGGGGCCGGGGCCGCGCCCCTTCCGGCGGGCGCTGCCGGAACCCGTGGAAGCGGAGCGGGCGGCCGGGGTTGGGACGCCGTTTCGCCCTCGCTGCTGTTGCCGCCCGCGCTCCCGCTGCCGGTCCCTCTTCCCTCCCGTCCCGTCCCCTCATGGCGGTGGAGCGCGCGGCCACCGGCCCCTCCCGCCGCCCGCTCCGGCCTCCCCCGCCCCCGTCTCCTCCTCTTCGTTCGCCGCTGCCTGCGGGGATGTGAGGGGGCCGTGACCGCAGGTACCGGCGGGGAGAGGCGTGCAGGGGGCCCGGCCGGCCCCGCGGGAGGCGGGGGGAGGCAGGGCTCCCTGCCCGCGGAGCGCTCGGCGCAAGGCCCTGGGCGCGGGCGCTGCGGGTGAGGAGCGGGCGGGCCGGGGGCGGCTGTTGCGGGGCTCCGGGTCTTGGACCTGCCTGTAGCAGCCCAGGGTGGGTTTCTCCGTAGTGGGAAGCTTGCTGTGGTTTGGGCGGAGAAGGCTGGAATTAAAAACCCTAAATCTGGGTGTTTGCGGGGCTCTCCCGCCGGGCAGAAGTGGCCGGGTACGGTGTGCTGGGTCTGCCAGAGCTCTGGAGCCGCTGTGCCTCGTACTGGAGTGTTGCTAACCAGGGAGCTAAACCGGTTCGTCTTCAGGGTTGAGTTACCCGAGGTTGAGGGTTGAGCAGAGCAGCTTCGGTAGAACTTCAGAGCCCTGACGGTGCTTTAGTTTAACATGGAAAACAGTAATCTTAACTTTGCATTGTAGTTCATTGTAGGCTTAAGCAGCACCAGGGGAGGTTTAGGCTGGACATGAGAAAAAATTTCTTCACAGAAAGGGTGACTAGACATTGGAATGGGCTGCCCAGGGAGGTGATGGAGTCAGCATCCCTGGAAGTGTTCAAGGAAATAGAGGACGTTGCACTTAGTGCCATGATCTAGTTGACATGGTGGTCTTGGGCCATAGGTTGGACACTGTGATCTCAGAGGTCTTTTCCAACCTAATTGACTCTGTGATTCAGAATGATGATTTCTGTTTGTTCATACACTGTGAAGATGTTGCCTGGATCTGACTCTTTTGTCCCTGTTTTATTCCCCTGATCTTTTCTGTTTTAAGCAGTCAACTTTCTCCACTTCACCTCAACGTCTTTAATGTTGTTTTTAATTAAAACATAATAAATGTAAGTCATCATAGCTCTTTCTTAATGCTTTTGACGTGCCTTGTATAGAGTTAGAGTTTTTCCCTGGAAGATAACAGCTTCATCAATAGGAAATTATTGCATAGGTATTTGTCAGTATCGATGTATTTAGAATTCAGTGTCACACTAGTTCTGCTTTTGTTAAAGTGGTTGATTCTTAGGATAAAATCCTGGCAAAAAGAAGGCAGGTTGTAACAGGTTATATCAGTCATGTCAAAGGAGTAGCAGTGACTAATGTCTAGATTTGACTTTAACATCCTGAGTTATCTTAAATTTGAAACTGCCCATCTGAAATACTAAAGGTGGAAGTTCAGTGGCCCTGTGCTGGTGACTCTTCCCACTGAGAGTAGAGGTAACGTGTCAGGTACAGCAAAAGTGAAGCAACTCTTATCTTGAGTCTATTTTGATAGATTTCCCAGAAAACAGTTAATACAACATCATCTGTCTGTAGCACTGTCTGTAGTCTGCATTCAGTTAATAAATAACACTCTTTTAGTGAAGGTATTTGTAGCTTTATGTGAAAATGCTTTAATTAAAGGTCATTCTTTTCATAGAAGTGAATAACTACAAATAGAATATGCAAAGAAGAAGTTTTTAGTGTGGCATTTTTTTTTATTTCCTCCTGGTTTCATAAAATGGAATAGTTGTTGCTTTTGTTTTATTAATGGAAATCTGCTGTAAAGAATAAATTTCACCATGGTTTAACTGAACCTTTTAAAATAGGCAACTTTAGAATGGTTAAGGTATGTTTTGCTTTTTGAGCACGTGCTAGTATATATGCAGATATATAACAGTATAAACAAATATCTTTTTAGCTTGCCTACGAAATATGTAAATAATTATAAGTTTGAGCAGTTGTTTAACTTTAACAGAGCTGGAAAACTGTATCTGTATTGGGGCAGATTTACAAAGTTGCAAAATTGAATAAAGTGTTTCCTAAACAGTGTATACAGAATCTTTGGGTACTGTGTGCATGCATCTTGGCCTTTTAAAGATGCACTCAGTTTTGAACTGGCAGCTCTTTTGTCCAAATGCTGTGTTACATCTGTCCCTTCAATGTTCTGTCTATACCTGTGCTTAAAAGATACGTTCATGAGTGGACAGAACACAACTGAGGAGGACTTGGATTAAAGAGTTAGGTATATTTGGGGGATTTTAGTAACTTTACTGAGACTATTTCTGTGTTCATAATCCCCACTGCTCCTGAGTTCTGTATATCCAAAGGAGAGCTACAAAGATGATGAAGGCCCTAGAGGGGAAGCCATACAAGGAGTAGCTGAGGTCACTTTGCTTTGTTCAGCCTGGAGGAGACTGAGAGGAGACATCATTGCAATCTACAACTTGCTCACGAGGGGAAGCGGGGAAGCGGAGGGACAGACACTGATCTCTTCTCTCTGGTGACCAGTGACAGGACCCAAGGCATGAAGCTGTGTCAGGGGAGATTTAGGCTGAATGTTAGGAAAATGTTTTTCACCAAGAGAGTGGTTGGGCACTGGAACGAGCTCCCCAGGCAAGTGGTCAAAGCACCAAGCCTGACAGAGTTCAGACCGGCGTGTGATTTTTTGGGCTGTCCTGTGCAGGATCAGGAGATAGACTTGGCCCTTGGGCATCCCTTCCAACTCAGCATATTCTGTCATTTTTGAGTTATATAAACATCCTCTGAAAGCTCACCATACTGAAGTCAGTAATTAAAACTATATTAGTTATTTTGTAAGAAAAGTGCCTTACAGAAAAAACCAGAAAGGACTAGGATAGTATTTCAGTTCAACTTTAACATGGTGCCTTCTAAAGAATAGCTTAGATCACAAGTTAGTTTCTTTGATTTGTGAAGTGAAAAGCAAAGGGATGAAATAATACTGCAGGCAAGACATACCTAAGGAAGATCAAATTTAAAATCACATTGCTTTGTGTTTTTAAACAAAAATCCTGTCCCTTTTTAAAGCATAGATGAGACATTGTAAAGTCTTGTGTGTCATGCATGAAAATGAAATCACCTTGAAATTATGGACAGTTTTTTTGCTGAATTCTTAAAATGCCACTTAATACTATTTAAAACTTCTGTTTTAGAAACCTAACCTCGAAATATTTAAGAAGTGAATGCCTCTGGATTTTGGAACAAAATTGGTATGTATAATGAGCCTTCTAAAGGCTCATCACCGAACATTTGGATTTTTATTTTGTTAGGGAGTGTTTCTTTCTGTTTCCTGTAGTTTTATGCCTGTGGAAAGGAAGAAGTGAACACATAATAGCCAGTGTGACACATAATAGTCAATGTTTATTTATTAAAGCAACTTGTTGATTCAACCCCTTTTTCTTCCATGGAAAGCTTTATGACTAAAGGGCATTAAGTAGGTGCTTTATTCCAGTGTTAGAAACATAAAACTTTTCATGGAGCTCTTGTAAAAGAGCAGAATTTACAATAAAATACCACAGAACAGCTCAAAAGATGCGGAATGACTGTACCTGGAGTAACTATTGTTTTGCCTGAACAGGCCTTTGTTTTAAAATCTTCTGTGTGAGTCATGTCTGAATGAATTACATCCAGGCAGGAATAATTTGCTATACAAGTGCAGGAGGTTATACTAATAGAGAAGCTGAATATGAGTCAACAGTAAGTGACTTTCTCAGTAAGCCCTTTCTCAGTAGAAAGGGCTATGAAAACCACCTGGTTTTAGTGTATAAGAAGAAATATAGTTTTCCACTGATTTGTGGAAGTAATAACTCAAGCTAAAGTACTGTATGCAGCTTTGGGAGTTGCATTTAAAAAAAGCTATTCGGAAGGAACCCAGAGGGTGACACAGCAGGAGGTGCCAAGCACCTAACTTACAGAGTAATCTTAATATGTGGGTGCAAAGATAAAGGGACTTGTATCTTTTCCAAATCCAGAATGGACAAACACAGTGGGCTTTGGTAGTGAAAGTGAAGATCTAGGTGAAGGTCATTAGATAGTGAGAATTCCTAATGGCATCAAAGCATGGCTGCTGTGTTTGTGAAGTTTCTTTTTCAAGTATTTCTTGGGAGAAGCTTGGCTGACTTATTTGTGATGAGAAGCAGCAGTGGATGACGCAGTACGTGGCAAAAGGTTGAAGTAAATGGCCTGTTAAAGTCATTTTTTGCTTACTTACATCATCCTGTTCACAGTTTAAAAGATCAGGTTTTGATAAGAAAAATGTGAATTCTGGTATTTAAATAATTTAGCATATATTTAGATTACTTCTTGTAAGTCTTGTAAGACTGTCTACTGAACTCTAGAGGGACTGTGGCCAAGTAAGTAAAGTTGGAACAATCTACTATGTCTGCCTTTCCCAAGTCTAATTCTTGCTTCTGTACAATGTACAGCTTGTGGAATTGATACTGATTTTCTTTGGCTGATATCTCCTACATACTTACTTAAGCTGACTTGATTTTGAATGTAAACTATTATTTCATCTCATTACACCTCTTTTAGTGTTTCTGCATATTTAGAGAACTTACTTGCTACAATAAATGTAACATCTTTAAGTGCTGTGTTTGTGCTGCTTTTTTGAGGCAAAGAAACATTACCTTGTATTTTAGACAAGAGAGTCTGTATCTTGCCAGCATTTGTCATGCTTTTTGGTTACACCTTGAAAACAAGCAAACAAGCTTTGTGGCTAATCTGGACTTGCTTATGTTCCGCAGTTTCTTTTTTACATTCAAAGTTTTTCCGTCTCTCCCTGTCTGTTAACCTTCCAACCCTGTGTAATCTGCCATTGCCCTGTTGCGTGCTGAGAGTTATGACTCAGGATACCAGCAGATCCACAGGTAGTTCATTAGCGAGTGGGTTTTGGAGCATTGTAAATGTTGTAGCTTCTGTGGATAGGAGAGTCTCATCCCCTCATTACTCCTCTGAGATCAGAGCAGTCAACTAGTATTTCTCCATGACACTGCTGGTCTTGAGTGGATGAAATGTTCTTTGTGTTAAAATCAGCTGTGAACTTGATTACAGAACCTTTGCAGAACTCCACTACTGCTGGTTTTATTTAACTCCTACATTTTCTGGTTTCTCTCCTGTTTATAACCCAGTAGTGGCCCTGGCTGTTGAGATGCAGTGGTTTTGCATGTCCCAAAGCAGAAACATGAGAGGCATATTTCAGAAACTGCTTGTTTCATGGCATTTTCTTTTCTTATTTCCAAAGATAATTTTTCTTGATAATATATTTGAGGACGCATTAGTTCTTCTTTACTGAGTCTTAGGGTTAAACTACTGATTTCCTGAAGTGGAAAGCTTCCGGTGCCTGGTATTGCTTTGACCTTGCAGCTGTACGTATCAGTTCTACCTGTGCAAATTATATCTGTGCTGTATGCAAAGGGAACCAAATCTCTTCAGAGAGAACTTGGGTTCACCATGACTATGTGACATTTGTCTGCAATTGTACACATCTGTATAAACAGGGGAAAAGTATGGCAGTCCAGCCCAAGCAGAAATGGGACTGGACATGTCTGTGAGGACAAATAAACTTGATGAGAAGAGTTAGCAGTAATTTACCTGAATTTATGTAATTTAAGTGATGAAGATGTGAGTCATTTACAAGTTTAACAAAGTGGCTGACAGGGCATCAAAAACTCTTTAGTGTATTTGGGACATGGGGTAAAGTAGAACTACTAGTTTTGAAGTGTCGTCATCATGGCTGGGCTTCACGAACAAAGATTTGGGAAGACTCTATCCACATTTGTTACAGGCACGCTGGTGGCTTATGAGGCCAATACGAGACAGACATATCCGATTGCAAAAGGCACAGCAGAAAGACTCCTTAGATGGTGTATTCTGCGAAACATGGTTCTTTCTGCATTGCCTTTTCTCCTCAAGAGTGATCCTGCGTGCGTTCTCAAAGGAGACAGCTGCGTTATAGATGGTGTGTCTCCAGGCCTCCCGATTGGAGGCCAGAGTAGACCAGTTATGGTGATCAATATGGCCAAGGCTGAGATGTTGTTTCAGGGAGTCCTTGTATCTTTTCTTCGGGGCTCCTCTCATGCAGCAGCCGGTGGCAAGTTCACCATAAAGTAAGATCTTAGGAAGGCGGTGGTCCTTCATCCTGGAGACGTGCCCTGCCCATCGCAGCTGCATTCTCATTAACATGGCCTCTAAACATCTGTTCTAGAGCAAGCAGCAGTCACAAGTATAGAGGCTATAGGGTTTTGAAGTGTAGCATCCTTTTAAAGTATAAATTCATAAAATTACCTGTTAGCTCACAAGTTTCCTCATTCTTCTGCAATCAGATTCTTTTGCTGCTGCAAAGAAAAGCCACCTGTGCTTCTCCCTTGTCTCTGAAAAGCAGTGGGTGGAAGATGTCAGGATGGGACTAACTGATGCTCTTTCCCTCTGTTAGTGTAGGTGAAGATATGCAAGCCAGAGAGAGAAGAAAAAGGAAAAAAAAGTATGGAGAATTCTCTTTTAGTAAAAAGCTATACTAGTAAAAATATTCCCTTTAGTAATATAACTAAAGTAGCAACTGTTGAAAAAAGTGGTAGAGTATAAAAGCTTATCAAAAGCAGCCCCTCCTCCCCCAGGTGATGCTATACCAGTGTCACATTTTGCACCAGCTGGAGCTGGAAGAACATTCATAGCTCGATTACCTGAACGGTGTGCCTTACACCTGCTAGAAAAGATGGCAGAGAGAACAGTTGCAAAAGCCTGTTGATGTCTTTTCCTTGCATTAAAAAATCCCTTTATCCTTCAGGGGACTGAAAGTCTTGTTGGAATTCAAAACCAGGGGAATGTTTTATGTGGTAGGTGAGGCTGCTGGGTCTGGTCTATCTCATGCGTTGTGATTTGTTTTTCTTGGTTTTGTTCCATAGGTGATTTTGTATCATGCAAGAATCTAGTTTAGTTTTAAAAGTTACTAGAAAATGAAAGCACTCTCATGTAGATCATTTACTTCATTTCTCCTACAAAATAAGATATTAAAAATTACTATTCAAGGATTAAGGGAAGAGGATTTGAGAATTTTCAACCGTGGCTCTTGCAGCATTTTGAATAGTGCCACGTTGAGTGCTTATTAAATGAGACTCTTTTCCTCTACTTCTTCACAGCCTCACTGGATGCAGGTAGGAGGATCTGTGTTCAGTTTTAACATTAACCTACTTGTAGCTCTCTGCTAGGTTTTTCCTAGGGGTATAGAAAATTAATCAAAATTGGAAGCACAAAAATACAGGGAAAAGTAGTACTGAAAGAAGGCAGGTTTTGAAGAAACAGGTGCTTCATACAGGTATGGGAAACTCTGTAATATAAATCAACAAACAAATGCCTTATTTCTTGCCAGATTTCCCTGGTTGTTAAAGAATAATTGCATGTGCATGCATGTCAGGCTTGTTTGTGTTATGGAGATGACTATATGATTAAACACCCTTCTGATATTCTCTTTCATTTTTCTAGGGAGTTTATGTGGAAGAAATGCTGTGACTGTTCTCAAACTCTCTTACAGACTGATTTTAACGTAAGTAATTGTTTGATCAGTATCATCAGTTACATGGTGTGCCAGCCACAGATCTGTGTACTCAATGAAAAGAAAAATAAATCACATATTTGTAAGCTTTGCTTAACGTTTCTCAAAGAACTTTTATTTGTTTGGGTATCAGTTTTTATATGCCAGGTATATAACCATTCCTTTGCTGTGTTCAGACTTGTTAGTTAGTCAACCATGGTGCAAGCTCTCACATGCTTCAAAGATTGCCTTTTTTTTTTTAACACTGTTAGTAGAGACCATTTGTAGGAGAACCAGTCACATGAGCTGTTGAGGATTTTCCTGTGCAGCAGCTATTTCTACCAGTTTAATTCTGATGTGTTTATTTTGCTCAGGTTTCGGTGTTGCATCATTTTGTGTTGAGTAACAGAAGTTCTACTCCTCATTGATCAATGTGACAGTGTTTAGTAGTTTACGAAATGAGCCAAACTCGTGGGAGATATGACTTCTGTATTGGTCTGGTGTTGGCTATGAGTTCCAGCATTTTCATTGGAGGAAGTTTCATCCTGAAAAAGAAAGGTCTCCTCCGGTTAGCCAGGAAAGGCTCCATGAGAGCAGGTAAATAAATAAATAAATTGTAATAAATTGCCGATGTTTAGATTTTGCTGTTTAACAGATTACTAAACCAATGATCTTGTTTTGACTTTGAGGTTTTTTTGTTTGTTAAATGTATATGAAAACTAAAACATAGGGCTGATGTTTTTCCTCTGGTGTCAGATACCCCTAACTCTGTGTGTGATATGTGCTATTTGATTTGTATGTAATACCCTCTGGGGACACTTGTCAAAGGATTCCTTTACATGTCAGTTAAGTCTAAATTGTACTTGCAAATTGAACTTGGAAGCAGCACTCTTAACTACATCTGTGCTCCTGAATGAGTGAATTTAGGAGACTTAACAATGTTTGAGTGTCAGGAGATTGTTTTCTAAAGCTAAAAATCACATGTGGTAATTGAGTGTAACCAGCAGTGTCCCTTGAGGATTCATACTGAAAAAAATACTATTAAATATCTTCATCAGTGATATAGACAGTGGGATTGAGTGCTCTGCCACTGAGTGGATGACACCAAGCTGAGTGGGGCAGCTGATGATGCACTAGAGGGAAAGGATGGCATCCAGAGGGACCTGGATGGGCTTGAGGAGTGAGTCTGTGCAAACCTCATGAAGTTAAACAAGAACAAGCTCAAGGCGCTACGCTTGGGTTAGGGCAACCCACAGTATCAATAGCAGCTGGAGATGAACAGATGGAAAGCAGCCCTGCTGAGAAGGACTTGGGGGTGCTGCTGGATGAACAGCTGACAATGACCTGGCAATTTGTGCACTCGAAGCCCAGAAAGCCAATTGTATCCAAATGAGGTGTGGCCAGCAGGTGGAGGGAGGTGATTCTGCTCCTCTGCTCTGCTCTGCTCTGATAAGACCCCGCCTGGAGTCCTGCATCCAGCTCTGGGGTCCTCAGCACAGGAAGGACATGGACCTGTTGGAGCAAGTCCAGAGAAGGGCCATGAAAATGATCAGAGGGATAGAACACTTTCCTATGCAGACAGGCTAACAGAGTTAGAGTTGGGGTTGTTCAAAGAGAAGGCTCTGGGGAGAACTTTCAGCACCTTCCAGTACCTAAAGGGGGCTTATAAGAAAGACAGAGATAATTTTTTTTTACCAGGGCCTGTAGTGACAGGACAAGGGGCAGTGGTTTTAAACTGAAGAGGATAGATTTAAATAGAATAGTTGCAGCATCCTCAGATCATTCAGAAGGTTGACTCTGAATATTTTTGATTCAGTACCTGTCATCTTTGCTTCTAAAAGATGGTTGATCTTGATATACCATAGTTCATGCTCCCTGGTTTGGAACGAGAAAGTGTGGTGTTTTCACATGTAATCAACCACATAAACCATGTATGATTTCCACAGAGTAGCACTCTTAGTCAGAGACACATAACCCGGCTTTTCATGTCATTACAGTGAATTGAAAGAACTGTTTCTCACAGTAATGCATATATGGTCATCAGCCATTTCTAACACAAAAGAAATAAGTGGTTTTCAAAGTAGGCTGTAGGAGGCAGATGCATGTCAGAAATTGAAGATGCTCTACCTAGAAAGCCTAAGTATCAAAAGGTTGCCCATGTTTTTAAAGGCAGGGGCTACAAAAATTATTTTATGTCATGGCAGCGTTACTAGTGATGGAGTGTTGATGTATGTTTTTAGTGGAGCAGCAAACATTCTTTCAATTTTAGGTCAAGGTGGTCATGCATACCTTAAGGAGTGGCTGTGGTGGGCTGGACTTCTTTCAAGTAAGTATCAAAAATATATTCATCTAAGTGTCACAAATACAATCTGCATGATATACTTTTAATAAATAACTCTGCCACAGATGGCAGCAATGATTACAAAAAAAGGAATGAGATTGGGATTCTACAATGTATGGTAATGCTATCTGGAGATTGATGAGTGCAGTTCTAAGGATTTTAATATAACTTCTCTCATACCAGAAGTTCTTCCTTTAATTTAACTGCCCTCTTTGTGCAGTGGAGCTAGACTATGTCTTTGCTACCATATGCATTCTGTTTTTTGTCTTAGCAGAGAAGTGCTTAGATATATTGGATTCCTTAGAGGGAAGCATATTTTGCGATTATGTCTATTTTCTGAACTTTTTTCATTGCTTAAGCTCTCAAATTACTGGCTGTATTCAGGTAACTGGCTTATTGTATGTGCTGTGCTGTATCCTGCTATTGCAGATTTCTCCATGGAGAAGTTCATGAGTCAAGTAGGCAGGCTGAGCAGCTAGAACACAGACGCTAGAGGAAAACACCTTGTGATTTGGTAGAATTAATTCTAATACCTGTTGCAGTTCCACAGCCTGTTTTTAAAATAGTGGGGCAGAGGGGCAAGGGTGTGCTCTGCTAGTACTGCTGGTTGAATGCTGTAATTAGAATTTCCATTGTTCCTTACTGCATGTCTGTGGCTACACAAACACTTGCACTGAATCTCAGGTTTGTTGTGTGACAGTCTAACTCCTGTTTTTTAATTACTGTTCTTCTGCAGTGGGAGCTGGCGAAGTAGCTAATTTTGCTGCCTATGCTTTTGCACCAGCTACGTTAGTGACTCCTTTAGGAGCTCTCAGTGTTCTTGTAAGGTAAGAAACACTAATAGAAATCAGTGTGATTTGAGAGAGAGAAGTAAAACATTTCTTTAGAAATTTGTCACTGAACTATGCTGTAATAAATGGGGTTTGTTTTTAACAATAAAGAGTGCTTATAAACATCAGGAGTAACTTCTAAGTTTCTCCAAATACCCAGTGACTGTGATATGAAAGGGCTCTAGCAATGCATCTACACTTCCATGTCTGAAGAGTATTGTCTTCTGCATTTCAAGAACCTGGTATGTACAACAGAGCAGTATTTTCATTCCTAAGTAAAGATTTTTGTCTTTCTAAAATTATTTTTGCAAGTTCTTAGAGCATTTTTTTGCTGACAGCATAAAAAGGGGGTTCTGGGGAGAGATGCCAAATATTAACAGGTAGTTGTGTCCATAGCAAGTATCTCGAGATAGCTATTTTTAAGCTGCACTCTGTGTATGCAAGTGACCTTTACAGTCAAAGCAACCTGTAAGTTGATGAGAAAATTAATATTACTAATTCCATGTTTGTTGGTGCATTTTTTTCTTCTTAGTGCCATTCTGTCATCCTTCTTTTTAAATGAAAAACTTAATTTACATGGAAAAATAGGGTGTTTGCTAAGTATACTGGGATCAACTGTGATGGTAATTCATGCTCCACAAGAGGAGGAAGTAGAAACTTTGGATGAAATGTCCCACAAACTAGGTGATCCAGGTAAGAAAAATGCTGGCTTGATATGTACACAGCCCATCATTTCTTTATTATAGTTTTCTTACTGCTGCTCTCAAGTTTCGGGAAGATAGCCTGTGTCTGCTTCATTTTGTCTGAATGAATTAGAGATTTGAATTCTGTAACATAATTCTATAGGGAACTTTGTGTGATGCCAGTGAACTTGTCTGGCCTTGAACAAAGAGTCTTGCTGTGAAGCACTGAGATGACCGTTTATATAAATGCAGCAGCACAGGCAGATAAACAAAACTTCTATAAATGTTGATTGAAGTGTCAGTCTCCAAGCCCAACTTTGAGCCATGCTTTAAAATGAAAAAGTAGGTGTCATGATAAGTGTCTGCTGAGAAGTGAAATTCTGAAGATGAGCTGTTGTGCTTACATGGAAGATGAGGCACTCACAAATGTATATCTGCAAAATACTAATTATACAAAGGCAATCCCCATTTTAAACATGAGGAAATGGACAGCACAGATTAAAAAGCTGTTCTTAATTTTGGAAATGTGCAATGAATGAAGCCGCCTGCCAAAACCTAACCTCCTAAAGAGTCAGTCCAGACTCAAGCCTGTATCCAGTGGCATCTACACATCAGTGAGTCTGTGTGTAAGGCAATTTAGCAATCTGATCCTGGAGACGTCTTGCCAATAGACTGGTAAAGGTAATACAACATGCCTGGGGTTCATTGTTTTGGCTAGCTCGCTCTGAAATAATTTTAACTGTGATGTTGGAGGGCTAATGAGAAACATCCTGAACTCTTCTGTTTAAGCTGAGTCGGTCAAATTGTTAATGAGTATTTTCTCTTTAAGATGCTTTTGGTAGTGTCTACAACTAACACGATTTTTTCCCCCCAACCACAGGTTTTGTGGTCTTCGCAACACTTGTTGTCATTGTGTCTTTAATTTTGATATGTGTGGTGGGACCTCGCCATGGACAGACCAACATTCTCGTGTACATAACAATTTGCTCTGTAATTGGAGCCTTATCAGTCTCCTGTGTAAAAGGTTTGGGCATCGCTATAAAGGAACTTTTTGCAGGAAAACCAGTGCTGAAACATCCCTTGTCTTGGATTCTGCTGCTAAGCCTTACTGTCTGTGTGAGCACGCAGATCAACTATTTAAACAGGGCTCTGGATATATTCAACACTTCGATAGTGACTCCGATATATTATGTAATCTTTACAACATCTGTTTTAACTTGTTCTGCCATCCTTTTCAAGGAATGGCAACACATGGCGGCCGATGACATTATTGGCACCTTCAGTGGCTTCCTGACTATTATTGTGGGGATCTTTTTATTGCATGCCTTCAAAGATGTTAATTTCACCCTGGCAAATCTGCCTCTCTCTTTGCGGAAGGATGATAGAGCAGCAAATGGCACTTTGCTGAGCACATACGACAGCTTTCATGATGATGAAGAAAGTTCTGCCTGTCTAGGTGAAATGCAGTCCACTGAGAGTCTCTCAGCCAGGAGAAATGGAAGTCTGTCAGCCTTCTGAAAATAGCTACGTGTTACTTAAGAAAAGAACAATTCTGTAACTCTGGAAATTTTTTTTCTGCTGTGAAATGTCCGATCTTGTCTGGAAATTCATGTACTTTTTAACAGTATGTGTAGACAATCGTTGATTTTTAAGTTTGATTAATTTGGATAAGAACACTGAAACTGTTTTTATTTGCCTTATTTTTACTTTAAAAAATACTAAAATGACCTCAGACCACAACTGGTTTTGTTGCTTAAGTTATGTGTAAATACTTTCATTTCATTCTTCTGTTTTTAAGATGTATTGCACTAATGACAATTTTATCAAAAATAAATGGCTTTATTTCTGCATTGGTGGTAAAAAGGTTGCAGTGAACCTGGATCCTTTGTACTTGTGCCCTGAGACCACAGAGTGACTGTAACCGTAATGAAACAGGAGCTGCAGCAACTACTTCCATCCTAGTTTGTGAAAGAGGAAAGGGAAAGCTACAACCAAGCACAACTGATCCTTTGAACATACTGCTGTATGCTAAATTTGCTGCATTTGCATCAAAACCCCCCAACTTTACCAAATCAGATTTACTGGCAGCAACAAGAAGGCAGGAGCTTCTACTTTGCTTGGATAGGGAGGCCATGCCATTTTATGCAGGAAGAAGGATTTGAGTCATTAATAGTAGCCAAGAAAAGCAATTCCCCCTTCTGTAAAAGCAGGTTCTGTCTGTGCTGCACCATGCTGCCCTGGCTCTGCAGAGCTGCTCTGTGTTCTTGGTGTTGCAGCTTGAACTCAGAATTGCTTGAATAGAATTACTGTTTTGTTTGCAGTAACACAGTTACTGGCTGTAACACTGAGTTTTTCAAAAAGGGCCAGAAAAATTGGAACTCAATGTCACTGCTTAGAAAAGGGTTAAGGCAGGTAGGTGGTAATTTAAGTTTGCAAAGGCAGAAAATAAAAATTAGTGATAGAGGTTTTATAAAAACATTTCTACCATGCATATGAAGGTTGGAAATGCTTGGAACAGAGACTGCTAGTTACTGCTGGTTGTTGTCAGTTTTAGTGCTACTGTTTAAGAGTATTTAAGATTTTTCCCAGAACAGAAAAAAACCCTCAGCAGTCCCCACCTATGAAACAAATTCTGCTGCCTTCCTTCGGTGCATGTCTTAACATACAGGAACAGCGACCGTGTCGAACAAGAAAAAGGTTCTTTCAATTCTGGCTGAAGAACAGGATTTGAACTTGCACCTCACTGTAAGGAACATCACGTCAGCAGCGCTCAGTCAGGGGAGCACAGAAACAGGGAGGGGCAGGGAGGACATCAAACACCAAAGAATTGCTGAACTTGGTTGCCACTTCTAGTATCAAAGCACCAGCCTACCTACCGCAAGAGCAGGTTATTTCACACAGTAGAGTCTGTTACTTTCTGTGGTGATGGGCACTTTGGCCTCCAGACCCACTGGTTTTGATGAGAACTAATGAAAAATGAAAAAGTTACACAAGTTACACCTTTTATGCACCTTCCTCCATTTTTCCTTTTAGGTAGGAGAAGAAGTTATACCAGGTGAAGAGGATTGAGTTGCTATCAAGTCTATTGCTGCTGAAAATTCCTAGGACTAATGTCTGAATTCTCTTGAACTTTTTAGTGATCAGAAAGTATGTAAAAAGTAGTTTTAAGATGTTAGAGACCAGTCCTCTTACGGCTGAAAGTTAGGTGGTGAGAATTAGAACTTATTTTACTAATATCATGACTAGTTATTTTTATTTTAAATAGTTCTTAAACATACAGGCTTTATTAATTAACCATCTCTGCACCATAGTGCCAAGCCAAAGCCTCATGTGTGCAAGACATCCCTAAACCAATGATTATCTCAACAAATTAGGAAAGTTGTTCATGTACGTAATTAAAGCCTGAAGCACATGGAAGAATCTGGTTGACCAGAATTCTTCTGAGACCTAAAAATGTTTCTTAAAGAAAACTGTTCAACACCTTGTACAAGAAATCCTGCAACAAGCTGGTGTTACAAAGCACAAGTGCTTCTTACTTGTGTCTCCCACGCAGTGGGCAGCCTTGTGTGTGCTCTCAAAACAGACACTGCTCCAGAATGGCAGCTCTCAAGCACAGATGTCCTGGAAAAACCTCTGACAGTGGAAACTTGCTTATAGATTGCTGGGCAAATCTCCATCCTCTGTTAGCTGAGGAAATCTAAGTTGATTTCATTCCTCAGAATCCAGTTCCCTGCCACCCCAGTACCTACACACTGCTCACCTCCTGCATACTTCCTCTGTCAGAGGCTCATTTCTACCCATTACTGGACTCAATCCCATGGCTGTGAAGCATCTGGAAAGAGCTGAGCAGGAGAAAAGATGTGCTGTAACCTAATCATGAACTGGTAAGAGGGAAGGGGGAAGAACAGGTTCTCAAAGGGATGCATTCTTGATCTCACACTATGGGTTAGAAACACTAACCAAGTAACATCTCCAGATATCCATATCCTGGGTAAAACATGTAATTATCTGTCTGTGTCTGTTCTGGCCATCCTTTACTCATGTTTGGTTTGGGCTGATCCCAACAGCCAGCTGAGGAACTCTGCTAGGACCTTGGAGTAAGCAAGCAGGAGTTACTACTTTTGGCTGAATGAGTTGCTTTAAAATTCAACTTTTACAGTTGTAAAGTTTTACAAACAATTTTACTGATGCAGTGTTTGCATAATACAGCAAGTGTAATTAAACAAATATTTTCCATAAGTAAATCATGATTAACATCATTAGAATTTATGTACTGGGAAAGATTACACCTGATTGCTGTAGTCAGCAATTCCTTATCACTTGTAAAGGTGTTTGAGTACACACTTATGTATCCAACCAAAATATAAACTCTGTTAGAAGCTCTCATTAGGAAAAAGTAAACAGTCCCCATTCTAATCAATCAAACTACTGCCTTTTGGAAAGATCAGAATACTCTCGGTCACCCCCATGTCAAATAACTTTGAAACAAACACTTTAATTAGTCCATAATAACCTCAGAGAATAGTTTTGCCAACAGGAAAAATAATCAGTAACTGACTACAAAAATTATTCACAAAGCACCAGCAGAGTTTGTTTCGTTGTTTTTTAATTTTTTTTAATAAAGGCAAATTAAGCAGTTAAGGCTCTAATACAAACAATTATGCATTGATTTCTAAAAATTTTTTTCTACAGAACCCAGTTTTTTATCCTCCACAGCCATTATTTTGATAACTTCAGGGAAAAATTATGCCAGTCCAGTCTAAAATGGCCACCTCAGGACAGGAATGCAAAGAGATTTCAAAAATCTTACAGGCTTTTAATCAAAGTGTATAAAATTTTAGTCTAGAAAAATAAGTATGGATTGTATACAGTTACTGTGCTTGGAGACTGGAGAGGACAGTGCACCACTCAAATGGCACAGACATACTGAAAAATGCAGATGAGAGTATTCCTTACAACTGTTGGTGTGGGTTTTGTTTCTTGGGGTTTTTTTCTTAAACTTTTAGCCTAAATAGGTGCAAAAAGTATCATCAGGTGGGAAGTCTAGTTGCTGGCAAGGGACTGATGGATAGGTGGCTGGAAGCAGCGCACGTGTTCCACAGGAGTGCTCTCTCCATCGCCGGACTTCAAATACTTATCCAAAATAGCAATTATTTCATCATTTAGAATCTGGAACTTGCGAATTCTCTCAACCATTTTCTTCAAAGGCTGCACACATCAAAAAACCAGACACACAGGAATTAGTTTTGGAGATAAAAAGCCTTAGACAGAAAAGCAGCAAATGCTGTTACCTCACTTCTCTGAGCAATGTTACCAATGTTTCCCTTTCACTGCTAAGCCAATGGAAATCCAAGGCTTGTTTTGGTTTTTGACAGTGCTGCTTTTGGTACAAAGAAGTTCAGTTTACAGCAGCTTTATCATTATCTGAATGCACATAGATGAGATGGAAGGCATTAAGAAAATCTCACATATGCGGAACATCAGAATTCTACTTGATCAGTCTTCACACTCCAGTACTGATGCCTTAATCTTTTGTTTTGAAAGTTCTGGTGCCCTCATTTTCAGCAATTCATTCTAAAAGCGATTGCTACATCTACACTGCATTTGAGCACAAACAGCTCTGAGTTGTTGCTGTCTTTCTTACTGCAGTGAATCCAGAACAGATGTTTTCAACTCACCACATTCTTTATAACCTCATCTTTGCCATCGTGCTTTTGGACTTTCAACAGGTGGTAGCAGAAATCCAACACATCGAAGCGACGCTGCTGCCCCAAAAGCACGATGATCATACAGCCAGCCCAGTGCAGGCCATCTCCAAAGCACTGCCTGAAACAAGAAACACATCACACAGAGCAGGTTTCACCTAAATCTATTTACAGTAAACACTTGGTAATCAGCCATTACGCTGAATAATAAATATGCTAGACATTAATCTAGAAAGCAAAAGTTCTGGTATATTAATTTTCTTTGCAGATATCACAAGCGATTCAAATGGATGCTTAAAAAAAAAAAATACCAGAAGCCCCCCCCCTCCACAAATTTTACATAACGTAGAGTTACTCCAAAAACTTTTACTCCCCATTAGACTCCTGTGTCATTACATTTCATTTTCAATGGAAACAATGCTTTCCAAGAAAACAAAGTGGGAATTCAACACCACTCTGTTCCTTTAGGCTGCAGGCATGAAAGGAAGCAAATGTCCTATGCTGTTTTCTAATTGCTCAGTGAAAAGCACGTTACAGCTCAACAGTTTTTCAAAATAAGGATATTCTCAAATTCAACAAAACCAAGAACAAACAACAGTTCCTGGTTAACTCATGTTAATCATGTTAAATTCCAAGTGCTCATTCTTGCTTTTAATTCAGAGAAGAAATACTTGTTAGAAATAGATGCACAAATGTTCTGCTATTTTATTTAAGCTGAGCATCCATAGGGCTATGAGCCCTATTGAAAGACACGTGCTAGGGCCTGTTTGTCATGGGATCACTCATTGTACACTGGCAATACTTAAAATAGAGGGCTATTTTCATTAAAGATACAATAGTATCTGTGTTCATGGATTATGAGCCCCTCCCAGTGATGGCAGCACTTTTCCTTGTTTTTGTGCTAAGCTCTTGCAGGCAGGCAGACAAACGCCTCTGTCCGGCCCCACTGCCACTGACAGGGAGGACAAGCTAAGCACTGTTGCCGCAGGTGAACCGCAGGCAGCTGGCAGTACGTACTCCACAGTGAACTCGTGTGTTCCCACAGGGATGCAGTAGACGAACTGCATCGCGCTCCAGAGGCGATGGAATTCCACGCACTCATCCACGTGCATCACCCCATTGCTGGGCAGGGGCCCGCGCCAGATGGGATCATCCAGG